CGGCCTGCGGACTGAAAGGTCCCAGGTTCGATTCCGGTCAAGGGCATGTACCTGGGTTGCGGGCACATCCCCAGTAGGAGATGTGCAAGAGGCAGCTGATCGATGTTTCTCTCTCATCGATGTTTCTAACTCTCTATCTCTCTCCCTTCCTCTCTGTAAAAAATCAATAAAATATATTTAAAAAAAATAAAAATAAAAACCATTATCACTGGGCCCTCCTCCAGAACGGTTGCCTCAAGCACCCAAGGGACCCTTATGCTTTGTAAGTTCGGGGGCTGGGAAAGGTATGTGCTGGGTGGGAAGTACTTGGGAGCTATTTTACCTTTAAAAACATCTTTGACATAATTAACATGCTACAATGCCCATCTTTTAAAGTGTGCAATGGTTTTTATTTTTTTAACTTTATTTCTCATTAATAGCTCTTAAGGAATTTTATTGATTTTAGAGAGAAAGGGAGAGGGAGAAATAGAAACATCAATGATGAGAATCATTGATCAGCTATCTCCTGCACGCGTCCCCTGTGTCCCCCACTCCCCAGCACTGGGGACGGAGCCCATAACCCAGGCATGTCACATGCCCTTGGCTGGAATCAAACCTGGGACCCTTCAGCCCACAAACTGGCACTCTATCCACTGAGCCAAAATGGCTAGGGCAATTGAATGCTTTTTAACTTGTTCACAAGTCAATCAACAATATTCTGGAAGCGTTTAAAACTATATTGTCAGGCCTGGCCAGCGTGACTCAATGGTTGAGCATCAACCAATGAACCAAGAGGTGGCAGTTCTTGCTCCACCCGGTTTGGCTCAGTGGATAGAGCGTCGGCCTGCAGACTGAAAGGTCCCAGGTTCAATTTCAGTCAACGGCAAATGCCCAGGTTGCAGGCTCAATCTCCTGTGGGGGGCCTGCAGGAGGCAGAGGATCAGTGATTCTCATCATTAATGTTTCTCTCTCTCTCTCCCTCTCTGAAATCAATAAAAATATATTTAAAAAAAAAGGTGGCAGTTCTATTCCCCAGGTAAGGGCACATGCCTGGGTTGTGGGCTTGATCCCCAGAGAAGGGTATGCAGGAGGCAGCCGATCGATGATGTTTCTCTCTCTATCCCTCTCCCTTCCTCTCTCCCTAAAACTCAATAAAAACATATTTTAAAAAGTAAATATAACTATACTGTCAGGGCCACCCCACCCCAGGAATTCTGACACTGGGCCCAGGAATCTGGGGGTGCTTGTCTTTTCAGAGCCTCCAGGAGGCTCTGCTGTGTAGCCAGCTGTGGGACCAGCCTTGAGCAAGGACTCTCCGTGAGGAAAAGGGGACATTTTGCCGTATCTATAGACAGTTTGGTTGTCACACCTGCATCTACTGGGTAGGGACTAGGATGCTGGCTGACATCCCACAGTGCACAGGATGCCCACATAGTAGTGATCCAGCACCAATGTCTACAGGAACCTCAAATCCCTTCTAGCCTAATGTGACCCCTTGGGACCTCCAGGCTCAGCCCACAGGGCTCCCAGAAACAAAAATGGGCCTCACCTCCAACAGACCAGCACTTACCGGGGACATTTCTCCAACTGGGCCCTGAGGTCCGATCTCTAAGAAGCCCCAGGTGACGCTGCGAGTCTGAGGACCACTTTGAGCAGTGAGATGTGGTTCAAGTACAGACCACACAGGGCCTGCCTGGGGTCAAGCCCTGCATTCTCCAGGATGGCAAATTCTAGATGGTGCACTATTTCCTATTGTTCCATAACATACAGCCACCCCAGTAATTAGCTTGCTGGGAGAGCCCAGGCTTGCTCACCCCACACAGCTGATAACCCAGAAATGCTTGCCTCTACAAATCATTTTCCTGCCACTTGAAGAGGGGATGTGACAATTTCCTGAGAATTTCCTTCCATCCAAAAGAAGCTGCTGCTCAGGCAGAGCTGTGTCCTCTCTGGAACCGAGAGGCTGTTGGAAAGTGGGTTTCGAGGTGAGGACACACTCCGGGATGTAAGCAACAGCTCAAGTGGGGGCCCAGAGGTCGGTCTTCAGTGACAATCAGAGAAAGAGTCATCCCAGGTGGGCTTCGTCAAGAGCCTGTCCAGGACAAGCGGGCAGAGACAGAGTGGGCCGTGGCATCCTCACTGGAAGCACAGCCCCATCCCTGGGAACGGGAGGACTGATGGTGGTGAGTGGCAAGGCCTGTCAGGCAGAGTCCTTCTGAAACAGAAGAAACTCCCACCAGGCGCAACCCACGTAGGGCTGCGGTGCCCAGATAGATGGGCACTGGGCTGCTCCCCGATTAGGGAGTGCTGTCTGCTGGTGAGGAACTGCAGAGGGCCTCAGGCACCCTCCCCGCAGTGTGGGTAGCCCAGGGCAGTGTGGAGCATCAGGCTTTTCCTTGGGGCTAGAATAGGTACCTGCCCCAGCCCAGTTCAGAAGCAGCCCAGATCCACTACCTGCCTCCTTACTGACCAATGGTTTGAGCACTGATTGGACTCTGCCCCCGCCTGGTCCTGTCCCTAGCCCTCACTGGCTCTGCATTTAAGCCTGTGGACTACAGGCACTGTGGCCGGCGCCTCCCCAGGGGAAGGCCCTGTCCCATCCAGCAAGTTTGCTGGAGGTTGGGCTTGAGGGTCCAGCCCACAGTGAGCCACTGGGGCCTGGAGACAGGAAGAAAGGTCTTTATGTGAAACTCCAGCAGACCGGAAGGCAGGTGTTAGCCTTGGAGGTCTGGATCCCTCTAGCCAGGAAGGGGGAAGGGTGGGCAGAGGCTGGGATTCTGGGAACACAGGCCAGAAACTAACTTCATGGGAAAAGCCTTAGGTAGGGGGGAAGATTCCAGTGCCTGTGTGGATGAAAAGACAGCAACACACAGGAGCAGTGTGGGACTGGAGGGTAGCCCTCTGTTCTGGCTGGCTGTGCCCTCCCCACAAAGAGCCAGCTGGCAGCAAAGCTTAGGATAAGAGGCAAGACCACAGAGCCTGGTGGTGGTTTGGAACTCTTTCTTCTCCTTTGTTAAAAGGGGGAAAGGAACTGGGTATGGGGTACCCCCGGGCTCTGGGCAAGGCATGCAGGCAGTCCCAGCAGGCAGGCACTGGGGGGTGGGTGGGAAGAGTCCTGGAGTTTCCCACAATCCTTTTCTCTGCAGGGAACAGGAAGGCTGGCTACTGAGTTGGGGGAGAGAAGAGGCCCTGGGGAGGGGGGCAGCGGGCAAGGGACTCAGGGCTCACTCTAACATGCAAAGTCCAGCTGCCCCATGAACTAGGTTGCTTCTTGAGTAACATACGTATAAATACACAGACACAGCCACACGCACACATGCGGAGAAGGCTCTGCATTCCCGAGGGTGGGGATCTAGGCCTGCCTGCCCCAAGGAGCTCCATGGTAGGAGCGCAAGTCTCCAGTAGGAGCCAGGCAAGTCTCCGCAGCCTCCTGAGGTGGGGTGAGTCCTCTGGGAAAGACTGTTTGGTCTCTGAAGTTCTGTCCACCAGCACCCAGATGATCTGAACCAAATCCATGCAAGCTGGGTGCTGTGTGCCTGCACTTCTGCATACTTGCAGGCAGCCTGTGTGCTGGCACAGGGAGTCCAGTCTCTCCCCTCCAGGGCTCCAGGGAATGGGGGTGCAGACAGAGGGTAAAGGGGGCCAGTGGAGATGTCTTCTCCCCCGCCCCACGGGGTCCTGGCCTCCGGGAGGGGGGAGGGGCCTCCCTTATCTCTCAGCCTCCATGGCAGGGTGGGCCCTTGGTTCTGAGGCAGCTTGTTGGGGGGCCAGGGGTGGCCAGTCTGACGCCGGGGAAGGGGGTGCCGGAGTCCACAGGGGCGGCTGCTGTGGCTGGTGGTGCTGTGGTCCCCCTGAGGGTGAAGCCACCATTGGCCAGCTGGGCGCTGCAAAGCTGCCGGTGGCACCGTGGGGCAAGGGGGGCGGGGGTGATGTGGCACCGCCACGAAGCTCTCAGAGGCCTTGAGACGGGAGAACATGGTGAGGGCATCTGGGAAGTTGGGAGGCGTTGCAGGGGTGTTGGCGGGAGTGCACATCTGTGGGGAGGAGAGCAGAGAGGGAGGGGTGAGCACTCTTTCTGGGAGGCCCCAATCTCCCAGTGGCTCCTAGCTGGACACACATGCTCCTTGCCCCCCAGTCTACCAGTCAGGGGCTCACAAAGCCTGCTACACCTGTTGGTGGCCCCTCCATGGCCAAGAGCCACTGCAGCTTAAACTGGAGACCCCTGCCATAGCTGCCCCTGAGGCCATTGGGGACACTTACCATCTGGTGGTGGTGGTGATTGTAGGGAATGTTGGTCTCCTGGAAAAAGGCGCTGAGGGCCGTCTGTGGGAAGAAAAGCCCAAACTTAACTCTCAGACCCCTGCCCGACCCTGCTGCTACCTCCTTCCTTCCCAGGCTCTCTGGGACTTGATGCCACCTTGGGCCTGTCACCACTTGAGCCTTACCACCTCCCAAGGAGGCACCTGGGACCCCTGGGTAGGTATGGTGGGTGGTGAAGACCCTCATGAATGTCTGCCACCTGGGCACCAGGTGTCTCCAATTTGCACATACCTGGTGTCAGCACTGTGACTTGGCTGGCAGGTAGCACCCTGGTCAGTCTCATGGGGAGAGGCCTCCCAGAGACCTCAGCCCAACTATCGCCAACTCCATGGGTGGTAAGCCCCTACTCTTCTCTGAGCCTGTTTCCTCATCTCTGAGCCAAGGCCCCTAGATGTCAAGTCTGTGATCCATCTGTCCCTCTCCTTGGCTGACCAAGGAACTCCACCCTTGTCTGGGCCTCAGTTTTTTTCCACAAAGAGATTGAACTAGGTGGCTTCCAAGGTCCCTCCCTTGCAACAGTGACCTCCTAAGATCTGTGGTTCCAGCTGAGAGACCCAGGATTAAGTGGGATGGTCTTGGTTTGCACTCCCTGCCCCGCTCACCTGAGTCTCCAGCAGAATGTTCTCAAGGTGACAGAGCAGGAGGATGGCAGAGGTGGGGTTTACACCCAGGACTGTGAGGAAAGGGGGATGAGAGCTGCCTGGGTCAGACCAGCTCATCTGGAGGCCCTGGGGACTGGAGTGAGGGGGCTCCAGTGTTGGCCTCTAAGAGCCCCCAGGGAGGTGCTGGCATGTGGTGTGTCCTGGCTCAGCCCCTGCAGGAGGGCGTCAAAGAAAATAAGGAAACCAGCTGCTCTTGCGAAAGTGCTTGGTGAGGGAACCCGTCAAGTGTGTGAAGGGTCTGGCAGGCTCTGCCAAGTCCCAGGCCCAGCTCTAAGCAGCCCCTGCCATTCTCATTCTTCCCATCACCACCGCTCAGATTGGCCTTCTCACAGCTCTGCGCTGCCCATCCCCTCCCCCGCCCCTAACATACCCAGAAACCCAACCTGGCTCCCAAGGGTTTCCCTGGGGTTTTTGTAGTTTTCTTAAAGTAAAATCAAATGATTATTCTGGGCATTTCCT